GCAGGGTTTGAACCTTTAGATCTTCAGCACTGACCTCTGAGCCAATGGAGTAATTGAAAACAGTAGTAGGCTGTTATCTTCTGTGTGGACCAGCCACTGTAAGGGCATGAGATACTTTGTCAGTGGGTTTCACAGTTATTTGCTGACAGCAGAGAAAGGGAGATTCAGGACTCCTAGCTTCATTTCCAGAACGTGGTCTAGTGGGTATAGACCCTTCTGCTACTGGGACTCCAGCCTGTCCCTGTACCATTCTACTCCTATCCTGCCCTGCCCTCCATCTACTTCTATCCCAGAGGTGCCAAACTTGCTCTGAGACTTTTACTGATGTTTGGGGGGGAAATTAAGGAAGTGTGATGGTGGCAGACCAGGTGCCAGCTCATGCCAAGGTTTCCAAGCTTCAATTGAATGCTGACAACTACATAGCTGTAATCAGTCTGGCTCACCTGTGTTTGTATTGTTAAAAACAGGTATTGGAATACGTTTAGACTTTGAATGCTTGTGAGCTGCTGCATGCATTAATCTGACTTACAACATCTGTATCCCATATTGTAATATAATATTTGAATGGCTGAACTATAAACCTCTGGGACTATATAAATCACCAGACAGGAGCGAGAGATTAGCTAGTGTAAAGTGCTAATCTGCAACAGACGGTGTTATGTCCTGCCCAAAAGGAAAGGTTCATCAACACCAGAGGGACTATTGTGGGACATTAAAGAGGAAAAAAGACTCAGTTGTCTTGCTCCACTGCCCTGAAGAGGAGTCATGCAAACAAATTCCTCCCATCAGCTGAGTTTGCAGCACAGAGCACATGGCAGGAAAGGGTTAAAAACCCCAAGGAGAAGGAACGGATTATCTCTATGCTACTTGGACTCTGGGGGGCCAGGTTTACCAAGGATAAGCAAGAGATCCTCACAGCTTAGCCTGGGATAGACCTAAAAGACATAGAGAGCTTGCTAATTATAGAGGCTTTTGTTACTTTTTGAAACTAAAGATTGGAACTCGTTTGTGTATATATGTTACCTGCTTTAATCTTGTAAAAAACTCTTATTTCCTTTTCCTATTTAATAAATCTTTATATAGTTTATTATAGGATTGGCTGCAATGTTGTCTTTGGTGTGAGATCTAAGGTGTGATTGACCTGGAGTGAGCGACTGGTCCTTTGGGACTGGAAGTAACCTGAAGATTGCTGTAATTTGTGATGTAAGGGACCATCTACCACAAAGGCATGCTCACCTGGATGGTGATATAGATCGGAGTACCCATGGGGACAGTCTAGGACTAATGTTTAGGTTGTTAAAGTGCCTGAGGACTTTACGGGTGATACTTTGTTGGTGAAATCCAAGTCTAGCCCTCAGAACCCATTTGGGGTTTGTGCCTTGGTTCTTAACCATCTGCCCTGAGGTTGGTACTCATGCTCTTGAGCCACTGCAGGCAGGTTGACAGGAGGAATTAGGGAAATCATTTGGACCTCTTTCCACCTCCCTTTCTCCACAGAAACTGAGACCTCTCTCCCCACAGAAAGTGGGAGCTTTCCTCATTTCCTCTCCCCATCTGTGGCTGAGGAGGGGGACAGCAACCCTTGGGCCCACACCCCCCATAGGGAGAAGAGGAGAATCAGCCCTAGGAAAGTTGCCCTACTCTGACACCTAGGGCCCTTAATTACCTTGGCCAGTACCAAGCCTGGACCTCCTTCCTGGGATAATCCTCCTCCTCTTCCTCTGTCACATTCCCTCTCCTCCTCCACCACCTCCTTCCTTGCAGACTGCACAGTGAAGGCCTATTAGGAGACCAGCTGCAGCGATTGTCAGCTGGGCTTGGGGTGCTGGATTCACCACCCGAGCCACAGGCTGCATACTGTCCTGTGTAGATCCTGCTGGTGCACTGTAGGTTCCTGGAACGCATCATCATAGTCCAGCAGGGTCCACACCAGGCAGTTAGAGTGCAACATGCTGTCCGTTGCTTGGGTGGTGAATTCAGAAGTGCCCCAACCCATTCAAAATCACCAGGGCTTGCCTCCTATCATACCCGCACTGCATAGTCTGCACATGTGCCCTAGGGCGGCCGCGGTGTGCTTTGTTGTGTTTGTTGGACCCAAGGGGTGGTCACACACATACCCCACTGCTTGCAAAATTAGTAGATTTAAATCTGAATTAGTAATTGTTGCTATCCACCTCTCCCTCCTACAAGCCCTCTGCTCTCCACTCCTGCCCCCCTCACACTCTGCTCCTCTCTACCCCATCCCCTCCTGACTCCTCTCTACTCCCCCTCTGCTCCCATCCATGTTTTTTTCCTACAATATTGATAAATGCAAAATAATGCACATTGGAAAACATAACCCCAACTATAGATAGAAAATGATGGGGTCTAAGTTAGCTGTTACCACTCAAAGAGATCTTGGAGTCGTGGATAGTGCTCTGAAAACATCCACTCAGTGTGCAGCAGCAGTCAAAAAGGCAAACAGAACGTTGGGAATCATTAAAAAAGGGATAGATAATTGTCTCTATATAAATCCATGGTACGCCCACATCTTGAATACTGCTTGCAGATGTGGTCGCCCCATCTCAAAAAAAGATATATTGGAAAAGGTTCAGAAAAGGGGAACACAAATGAAGGCAGGGGGCTGGACTCAATGACCTTTCAGGGTCCCTTCCAGTTCTATGAGATAGGTATAGCTCCATATATTATTTTATTTTATTATTATAAACCCACTGACTCACAACACCGGTTCACTAACCAGGCCACTATCTAATTCCTACCATAGTTCCCATTGCTGCAGTCTGGGCACCTCTGCTTTATCCGGGTGCCCCTGTTTGCGCTGTCCCCTGCAACTCCAGACACAGCAGGGTACCTTTGTATCTGCTTGGGTTACAGTATCTCTGGCCTCCACGGCCTTGGGCTTTGGCTGATCCTCAGCTGGAGCCAACAGAACACATCTTTCCTCCCCAGCAGTCAGCCCCAACTGAGCGGAGCTGCTCCCTTTTATACGAGTGCACTTGGAGCATGTCCAGGAAAGTAAAGGGGGTGTGGCTTCCTCAACCCACAATGTAGGGTTAACCCTTCCCTGTCCAGCACAGGGCGAGTGCGCCCCGTCACAGCAACATAAGCCCCTTCCAATCGTTAAAGCAGAATAAGCTCCAAACTTTTATAATATTTTTGTCCCCAACTTGTGTGTTTTGGGACTTGGTTTTTAGCAGTTTATGTTGAGCTAGGGCCTCAGATCATCTTAAAGAACTTAAACCGATGGAAGGCTTTAGACTGATTTACGATGCTGTAAGGACTTAGATCATTTTAACCTGCAAAAATGGAATAAAAATACAATTTGGGTTGGTAGGCAACTTGGGACTTGAAGGATGAGTTAAGGGGTCCCATCTGAGGACTCTGAACCAGTTTAGAAAAGTGCACGTTTACAATGCTGCACACACCTGT